CGCATGCCAATCTGCACGCCATTCTGCAATGGCGTGCAGATTGGCGTGCGCCATGGGGGTTGGCGTGCGCTTATCAACCCCCTTCTACATACCGTCGAAAGCATTACTCTAGCCACGTTTGTGAGCCTCTCGGTTTTGCTCTCTTGTTGTTTCAGACTATTCTTCAATCAACTACGCCATGGCAGACGCAGGTGCAGGATCATCCGATGGAAAAATGGTGAAGATCAAGCCGCAGGATAAGTCGTTGGGATTCGATGGGAACAATGTCGAGAGATTCTTGTCTGACTATCAGCTGGCGGCAAGGTTGGATGGCGCATCCGATAGTGATATGGCCCAGCAAGTTCGGTTCTTTGTGCGCGGCGAGGAAGTTAAGGATGTGCTCGAAACGTTGGACGGCTTTGAACCCCCAAACTGGGAACTGCTAAAGGCAGCAATGCTGGCCCATTGGGGAAAGGTGGATATCGCAAAGTTCACAACCCGAGATTTAGAGTCGTTGGTGCAGGAGTGGATTGACAAGGGAGGAGTGTCTTCGTTAGTCAATTATCAGGACTTTAGGAAAGGGTGGGAGCCCATTCAGTCTTATCTCCTCAGAAAGGCCCACATTGACTCGTTGGAGGAAATTCGAACATTGTTTTATCGCTCGTTTTCGACGGCAGTGCAAGAGAGGATTCGGGATCAGCTTATCAAAGACAAGACGATGATCACGACGTTAGACAACCGCTTCAAACTTCCTACCTTTGACGTTCTAAAGAAGGCTGTAGACGAGGTTATGAAGGGTCAGACCGCATTGACTTTTGAGGATTCTAGATCTTCCAATCCTGTCTCAACGTCGCTGTTTAAGCAGTCCAATGACATAATGAATAAGATGGAGACGGATCGGCGACCAAAGGAGGCTCCTGTTTCAGCAAAGGCACCGGCCACCATCGATGAAATTTCGAAGATGCTTCAGTCATTTGAGCAAAGGCTTGAGAAGAAGTTTTCGGCAAGCGCTGCACCTCCTTCTTCTTCAGTACCGCCGGCACCACGAGGCCCAATTGTTTGTTACTATTGCCATCGTGAGGGGCATGGAATTGCGCGCTGCTTTGAGCTTCAGAAGGATAAGAGTGAGAATTTGGTTGATCAGCAGGGGAATAATTTTTTTCTTCCAAATGGAGCTCTCATTCCATTCGATTCGTCGCGCCCGATCCGACATGTAGTGGCCTCTTATCAGGCTAAAACCTCATCTAGTACGGCAACCACGGAGTTGAGGACGACCTGTGGCACACTAGAGCCGTGGTATCCGCCTGCGATTTCATCTCAGTCTTTTTCGGGAGCCTATCAATCTGATCCAGCTAGGAAGAGGCATGAAGCCCCGAAACCGTATAAGGCCCCTGTGACACCGCCGATGGCAGCAAGACGACCCGCTTGGAAAGCCACAGTACCAAGCGCTGGTGTGGAAGCGGAGGACATGGACGTTGAGGCGGAATTGTTTGTTCACACACCAGCTGAATTGGGAGCGGACTCGTCAGCGGAGGAACCACCAAGTCTAGCGGAACCAGAACCTGTACCAGCATCATTGCCACCCAAGTCGACGAGTGCACCTCCAAAGGTGAGATTTGAGCGTGGAATCACAAAGGATCATCCGAACGCTGTCGATGGAGTTCTCAAGAAGATTTCCGATCTCACGGTCCCAGGCTTGTCAGTTTCTGAGCTCTTGGCAATCTCACCATCAGTAGCAGAGGGAATGAAGAAATGGGTGTCGAGGCGAAGGGTGGAAGTTGGTCCGGAGGAATTGAAGGTGTCGTCAGGAACTCTAGCCGAAGGACCAGAGACAAACGGACAGCTTGGCGATCTACGGCTTTACTCTTGTCCTTTGGGGTATTTGCCCTGTCTGGTTGGGGAGGACGAGAGCACGGCGGCCCCATTAGTCGATTCGGGTTCACAACTCAATTTGATATCCGATGCTATGGCTAACAAATTTAACATCAGTCCTCGAGTAAATTTCAGTTCGGCTGTCTATGGAATAGGAAACCAGGCTTGTGAGTTAGTAGGTGTTGCTGAAGATGTTCCCATTAGGATTGGACGTTCCATATTTGGTACCTGTCATTTTTGGATTACACGCTTGGACGGACCAATCATCCTTGGCCGACCTTTCTTGATTGATTTCGATGCAACCTTGACATTTTCTAGCCAGGCTGGGGAGAGGATCCTTCTTCCTGATTCAACTGGTCGGAGAATTGAGGTATCTTTGTGTGCGACAGACTCGGGACGTTGGGAGCGTGAGTTTCCTGGAAAAGGGCGAAAGGCGGTTCTTACTCATAAAGGGAAAGCTCGCCAGGACCCGGATTCAGATCGGCATTTTTTATAGATTCAGTTGATCCGATTTACGGCAGTCTTAATGTAGAGCCTCGAATTCTCGCCATCGGATTAACTCAAGATCAAGAGGCTCAATGTGTTCCGGTTTCTGTCTCATCTTCAATTAATAATTCAAAACCTCAAAAACAAATGAAAATCATCAAATACCCAAAAAATATTTCGACTTATTCCGATTTCAGTTCTCATTCAGTTTCAATCAATCATCATCTCAATCCGGTTTCCGACGTTGTTTCTAGCGGTGTTCCATTTTTTATTTCGAGTGGAGAAGATGTTGAGGTGGATAAGGGTTTCTTGCGGAGGCAAATTGGAGTAGAAGTAAGTCCTCCCAATTGTGCACCTCCAGGGCTTGATGCCACCAAACATGTCAAAACTCTACCGCGTGCCACATTTGTGAGCAATTCCCAAACCCCTGGCCTTTCTTCTCAAATAGGACATACCCGTTTGGAGGATCATCGTCTCCGCAATGAGAATAAACTACCCTCGTTTCATATCAAGACCCCTCAAATCTCAAATCTAGATTCTTGTCTCCGCAATGAGGATAAACTATTTTCTGTTTGGTTAAGTGATGAAGATGGAGTGGTGGAATTGGACCTCCGTGGAGGCAATTTGGAGTAGAAGTAAGTCCTCCCAATTGTGCACCTCCAGGGCTAGATGCCACCAAACATTTCAAAACTCTACCGCGTGCCACATATGTGAGCAATACACCGGCCCTTGGTTTCTCTGTGAGCCTGGGTCTCTATAGTGACAGCAGGACACAAGAATTTGGGGGGCACTTTTAAATGTATTTCCTGAGAAAAGAGGAATACAAATAAAAGTAGGAAAAGAGGAATGAAAGACTGAGAAAAAGAAATAATATTTTTGTTCTTTATTTATTTTAAGAAGAAGAATTAAGTTGAGCAGTCTTACTTTCCACTAAGGATGGCTGGTAATAAGCGGAGCTAACTCTGACGCCTCCAATTCAACAGAAACTGAAATGGGATATTGAACTGATGAATCAGATCAATCCACAATTTTTTAGATCAAGGATCAAGGCTCTTTAAAGGGAAACCTATGTAGTTTTCAGTTATACTACCAAACAAGGAGAATTGAGGTAATAGCAGCTATGGCTTGCTTTATTGGATCAGGGCTTTGGTTTGGAGGAGCAGAGAAAAGGTTGAGAGAGACTGAGAGAAGAAACAAGCAGAAAGATGCTAGCTAAAACTTATGAAAAGTACTTACTAATGACACCAATGACACTGAGTAGTGGGAAAGGTGGGAAAAGTGGAGTGCTTCTGGTTGATAAGTGATGGCTTGATCTGTTCCTGGGTGTTGGTGTTCTGTGGTGGTCTGGAGTCTGAAAATCCTCTGGAAGCGGAATCCACAAGCTCAGAGAGGATTTTCAAAGTTGGATTATGTAATCTGGCATGTACATGTGGTAGAGGGAGCTGAAACCTAAGGTTGGAATAATTCTTGGAGTACAGTGAATTATTACAAAGTCAATGAAGGAATGGAGTTGGGTAAAAGTGGTCAGTGGTGACTAGGGTTAATTTTACACCAGGAATCCATTTCTGAAGTCAGAAAGGTTAAAAGTCTTAAGATAAAAAAGATATGATAATATTTTGAATAGAAATGGGCAGTTTTGGCAGTCTTTTGGCCAACTTGGTTGGCTCTAAGGCTGACATTCTCCTTTTCAGAAAAATCTGTGTTTGAGGATCCCTCTGAACATCGGACGTGGCTCATGCTTGAGCGAGGTTTGAACCGTCGATCACAAGATATCCTTCTAGAATCGTGGAAGCAAGGCGATTATCTCACATTTGCTACTAAGTACAAGCCAGTCGCCAAGAAGATCAAGCCTGTGAACAAGCCTATGCCCGTTGGACTCAATCCACCTCTCAAACGCCCCCCTCTCTCTCGCGACCCGTATCGTGCACTTCCTAGGTCTCTGGCTGGCCCTTTTGTTGCTCGTGGACGTGTCACAGAAGAACGGCTTTCAGTGGTTGATTTTGGACCAGATGGTTGGCTTTCTCCGGACGAATTGAATTTGATCAAAAATGTTCTAGCGCTGCGGGAGAGGTCAATTGCCTTCTGTGAAGAGGAGCGTGGTCTTTTGAAAGAGTCCTATGGTCTTCCCTATATCATTCCAGTTGTCGAACATGTTCCATGGCAGAAGAAGAAGATTCCAATTCCGGCAGCAAAGTTAGAAGAGTTCATCAAGTTAATTCGAGAACGAGTGCAAACAGGATTATATGAGCAATCTACATCAAGCTATTCTAGTCCGGTCTTTTGCGTTCTCAAGAGCAATGGAAAACTTCGAGTCGTTCACGATCTTCAGCCATTGAATAAAGTTACTATCAAGGATGCTGGAGTTCCGCCTGCTACTGAAGAATTTGTTGAATCGTTTGCCGGACGTGCTTGCTATGGACTTGGCGACATCATGGGCGGATATGATGAGCGAGCTTTAGATCCCATTTCCAGACCTCTGACTACTTTCGATACTCCGCTTGGCCGTTTTCAACTCACTCGGTTACCTCAAGGTGCTACGAATTCTGTTGCTGTTTATCAAGCGCAGATGATGTGGATTTTACAAGACGAGATTCCAGACAATGCCGGAATTTTCATTGACGATGGCGGTATCAAAGGACCAACTTCAGATTATAACAATGAGTCTTTGTCTTGGCACCCTGGCATTCGACGTTTCATTTGGGAATACGCAGAAGTTCTAGAGCAAATCCTTTTCCGTATTGAAGAATCAGGTTTGACGGTCTCAGCATCAAAACTAGCTGCTTGTGTTCCTGCTTTGGAGATTGTTGGTCATGTTGTCTGTAAGGAAGGCCGGCGAATGTCGAAGAAGAAATCAAATAAGATCCTCACTTGGCCCAACCCAGTCAATCCAACCAAAGTTCGTGGATTCTTAGGTT